GCAATAGACTTTTAATTTACATGCCATGACTTTACCACGATAAATGACTTTCTGACATATGAAAATTTGTCAGGATACAATGTTCAGAGGTATAAAACATGTTTGATATGCAAAGAAGGCACCCATTACATGCAATTTAAACATGGCAGGAAGACGGTCTACCTTAGTCATAGAAGGTTTCTTAGTCAGTGCCACCCTTACCTTAGGCCAAAGAAGGCATTTAACGGCTCACAAGAATATAAAATGGCTCCAATACTATTAACTGGAGAATAAGTTTATCAATGGGTAAAGGGAATTAATGCGGTGTTCGGTAAAAAGAAGAAGAAGACTGTTGGTGAGAGGAATATGTGGGAGAAAAAAAAGATCTATCTTTTTCAATCTTCCATATTGACAAAGTCTTGATGTGAGGCATGGTCTAAATGTGATGCATGTGGAGAAGAATGTGTGTGAGAGCCTTGTTGGTACACTTTTACATATAAGTGGAAAGACTAAGGATAGAATCAATGCAAGACTTAGAATAAGAAAACTCCATCCACAAGATAGAGATGGTAAGAGGGCTTATTTACATCCAGTTGCACACACATTATCAAAAGAGGAGAAAAGAAGTTTCTATGATTTTGTCAATAGCATTAAAGTGCCATACAGTTATTCTTCTAATTTGAGCAAATTTATTTCAATGCAAGATTTGAAGATAACGGGGATGAAGTCTCATGATTGTCACATGTTGATGCAACAATTACTTCCACTTGCTATTTGAGGCATTATGAAAACCGATGTGACAAGTATTATTACAAGGCTTTGTAAAGGTTATGTGATCCTTTCCTAATTGAAAATACACTTTCCTCTATCATTTTTTTGACATTATGGTCCACTTGATAGCTCATCTTGTGTGAGAGATAAGAAATTGTGGCCCTGTATGTTTGAGGCGGATGTACCCATTTGAGAGATATATGAAAATCCTAAAAGGGTACTCTAAGAATCTTTATCGGCCTAAGACATCAATTGTTAAGAGTTATGTAGCTGATGAGGCAATTGAGTTTTGTAACGCATATCTTGATAGTGTAAAGGCAGTTGGACTTCCTCAATCTCGACATGATTAAGGGAGAAGCAAGGGAACACGGGGTGTTATAGTGAGGTCTATGTCAAGAGAAATTGTAATGCAGGCACATCTATACATTTTAAACAACACGGATGAAGTTTTGGCTTACTTGAATACTCACAAGAATATGCCGAAGAACTTGAATCTAAGAAAGAACAATATGCAACTAGCTAATGAACATAATAAGTCATTTGCAGAGTAGTTCAGGTGAGGTCAATATACCTGATAACCACAATGTCTCAGACGAGAAAACAAATATATTTTGCACGTTATAAGGAAGGGTAAGTATATTATCGTATTTGAGATACACAAGTTGTATGTATAAGATTATAATTAACATGGTTTGTATTTTGCAGTTATTTTTAGACCCTAATTGTTTGTGTCCTTTTTTATAACAAAGTCTACTAGTTTGATTCCCTTTGTGGAAGTCCATCCGAAGAACCAGAGATGTCATCGACACGTTAATTTATGTTTATATATTTATTACATGTGAAGTTTATAAAAACATGCTCTAATATCATTTTTTTTTAATTATTGATGGGTTTTTCATAGTTTCAATGTTGTGGCAAAAAAGCAAAATAAACAACTACCAATATGGCTTCTCCCAAAAGCATGTTGTTTTAAGCTAAATATATACTTTTAAATCTTTTTCAATAATTAAAGTGAATGTTTATAATCAAAGTCTAATATTCAATTTTATATTCCATTTTGTTAGTACTGTTGTCAACAAGGGAGTGTTGAATGCGAATATTATGTCATCCGCTACATAAATGACATCATTGAAATAGGGGTGACTGAGAAATTAGACGAGGTAAAGATAAGTTATATTGCATATAATTCTTCAATTCTTTTCACATTTTTGGTGAAGTTGACTATGTTATTTTTTATTTACAGGTATTTCAAAATGCTGCCTCATATCACATGGATGAAATCAACTTGATGAGGGACACTTGTCAATAACATTGCTACAGAATTTTGAAAGTTAGAGAAATAGTTAGGTTATTCCTCAAAAAATTCATTGCTATAGTTTTTCTCTTAGTTTCCCCCCTATACATGTTTCTTAGTTCTATTATGCAGACAGAATTCACTTGTTACTATTCTTTGAAGAAACATATTCCCTTGTACTTTGCTTCTCTACTTTAAGCTTTGTGCAAAATTTCAATGCTTGTTGGATGTATATATTAACTAGTTTGTTGATTATTTGTTCATATGCTCATCTTGAAATTGTTCTGCATATTTTACACTGCTTAGATTTATTTGGAGTTGTAAACTGCAGGGAGGTCGAAAGAAATTCACACAGTATTATAAAAAAATTAAATTTTTAGCAACGGTTATTTGAATAACTGCCATTAAAATAATTTGCCACAGCGGTTATTAACTAAACCGCAACTTTCCATAGCGGTTTTCTATGGTAGTTTTTTACAAAACTGTTGTAGAAAGTCAATTTTTCATGGTGCTTGTTTTATTTACCTTTCAACGTCGACTGTATCCACTTCACCTCCAAAACTGTCGTGAAAAACCCTCAATAACTGCCGTTAAAAGCCTTTTTGCTGGCAGTGGCATGACAAAAAATTTTTTTTGATCAAACTTAAAATAACACTAGTGGAATTGTTGGAATCTTGTAAGTATAGTAGCTAGATGTCAAACAAGTTGTCAATAAGAAAGAAACTTGGAGATCATTAATAAGATAAGAAGAACAGCTCATTTTTAATTAAAGTTGTTGATATCGATGACACACTGTGGTTATAGGCATATGACTCTAGAGTATGTAATGTATGGCCAATTTTCAATTAAATCAGATGTCTTTAGCTTCAATGTGCTAATACTGGAGATTGTGAGTGGGAAGAAGAACAGCATCTTTGATGGAGATAATGTACAAAATTTGAGGCTTACCGGAGATGAACACTTTGGAGTATATATAGTTCATCTGAGGCGACAAGATCAGCTGAAACAGGAAGAAACTATGTTGAAGCCTCAATAAATAAAGCCTCCATAGCTGAGCTTCATCCTCGCTAAATTTGGCCTTCGCCGGAAGAAAACCAAATGAAAGCTTGCAGTTCAACTAGACTGTATCTATATATATTGGCATAACGTGTGAAGTCTATAGAGATTTGAATTACTACCTCCGGTATTTAATATAAGAGTTAGTTGGGATTAGATTTGATCTTCAATATAAGACCTTAACCTACTTTGTCCTCTTTAAATTTATATTTTTCCCTCTTAAAGTATCCGTATTAATTGTACATATCAAGGAAGTTACTATCAAGAAATAGTTTTAATGTACATGACGAAGTATGGTAGTTTAGGAAAATCTTAATACATATTTATTACAAATTACTAATTTAATTAATTTTTATAACATCCATAAATTAATTATGTACATATACTATGGACAAGAGTTAATATTTATACGTGATGAACGTCTGGCTTCTCTTGCCCAGTGTATCAGCTTGAATACACTAGTGCTTGAATGCACTGCTACTATCGGGAGTTTGTTAGAGAAACCTTGATATAAATTTAATTCATATTCATGATCTTGACAACTCTCTGATTTCTGATTCATGGACTAAAGTCCATTGACGAGACGTTAAATATCGAAGTGGTAGGGGGAAAAAAACAAAAGCCGTATTAATTAATTAATTAATTCAACCAAAGGGATTTTTTTAACTATCTTCTCTACCTTTTCACTTAATTAATTTTGTTGATACATATTTTTTACTAAATTTTTAACAAATATACATATAAAATTTACAACACCCAATTTACTGAATCATATGTTCTGTAACAAATTTACATTTATTCATATGCAAGTTTTCAAATGCACATGAACATTTTAGTAACTAAGAATAACAAAATTTGCAAGTATAATGGATTTCTCAATAGATTTCTCAAAATTTTTCTTATCGATGAAGCTTTTATCCTGATATTTTTTATTAATTTAATGCTTTCTCTTATGAATCAATAAAAGGCCTCTGATTTGATGCATATTAAATTGTTTATGGTTTCTTTTCTAGGGAGATGAATTGGTTTGATATTCAATATTTTTTTTCATCAATTCCCTATTTTTATTCAATATATGTATAAATTTGCAAAAATAAATTACAAGTGATAAGCAAATTTTTTGCAGTTGTAACAGTTAAAAATAATAAAATTTACAAAAGTCTGCATGAATAAATGATATTTTGATCATCTAGCATCAAAACATCATTTCACTTTCGTCTAATACTGCAATTGAACTTCATAATCTTTTCGAGCTGAATTGAATGGAAATAAAATCACGTAAATTGTCCTGTAATGAAATTTTGGCTCTTTAAATTTATTCTCATTTTAATTTTGATCTCTTCAATTTTAAACTCTCAATTTGGTCCCTTAAATTTCTTTTCATTTAAAATATTAATATCTATAATATAATAAAAACCTGGATCATTTTGCCTCTAAAATGATCAAAACCTATTATTTAAAATTTGAGGAACTAAAATCAAAATGAGAAAAAATTTAAAGAACTAAAAATTATATTAATTTTCTTATTATTTATGGGTCAAAGTAATTAAGAAAAAGAACAAATTGGTACGTACATCTGACGTGCTGTAACTCAGGGTCTTTAACATTGGGGTCGGTCTTCAACCACTTCCATCGCATTCAACCTTCGCTAATGCAAAAAATTGACCAGCAGATGTCTCATTACTCGTTAGTCTCCGTTAGACGACATGCCTAACTTTGCAATTTACCCATAATAAGTCAAGTCAACTCTGTGGATGAAATTGACATTATTAATGAGATTGATGAGTACTTTACAACAGAAACCTCACAGAGCGAAACGAGATAAGAAATCTATGAAGCAGAGCTAAAGGCTTTAGACTTTAAACCTTCTCCGAATGCTATAACCCCTTGACAAAGTTCAATGGCCAGAGCTTACTTAGCATTGCTTCAATTTCTCTGTGTTCTTATCACTCAATTATTATGTGGAGCCAGCAGCCAACCAGAATTTCTGGATCATTATTGCAGCAACAGCAGCAACACAGCAAATATCACCTACCAGACCAACCTCAATACCCTTTTATCAAATCTCGGTTCCGACACACAAATAAATTGTGGCTTCCACAATCTCTCATATGGTAGTTATCCAAATACAATATATGCTGTTGGGTTATGCAGGGGAGATGTTATGTCAGACTTTTGCCGTAGCTGCCTCAAAAATTCATCAGTCCTGCTGCCAGAGCTCTGTCCAAATCAGAAGCAAGATATTGGGATGTACGATGAGTGCATGTTATCTGTCACGGCTCGCTATAACAATGATGAAAATGATCGTAATATTCCCCTTTAAAGGCAACTTAACGTCTCAGTACAATCAATATCCAAGAAAAAATGCCAAAAGACACGATCAAATAAGACAAAGGAATTGAAAGATAGCCACAACGGTCCAAGGAAATCAGAATATTGCAGAGGGAGAGAGCATAACAACCAGAAGGAATCTCATAACAAACTCTGCCCTATACAACCCCTTTCTGTATTATTTATTAGCCTCGTTGCCAGCTCACACCGCCAGCTCACGTAACTTCCAGGTCCTTCTTCGCACACGAGAGCTGCGCCTGAGGTTTGGGTTCACGTGATTTGCATCCTCCTCATTCACTATTCCAGTACGTGAAGCACGTTCTGCATGCGAGTTTATGACATTACTTCCCCCTTTAGCTTTGACCTTGTCCTCAAGGTTAAAAGTTGGATCCATAGACTTGATATCAGCATAGTCTTCCCAAGTAGCTTCGGCCAGCTCGTCCCACTGGATCAGAACCTGTGTGACCCAATCCTGATTCTTGCGAACTTGTCGTATAGCCTCCACCTCCAGTGGCGTCACAACGGGACCCTCCGGTGAGTTATGTAGTGGTAGTGGAAAAACAGGGGATGGTGGCAGAGCACCTTCAAACTTTTTTAGGAGAGAGATGTGGAAAACAGGATGGATGCGAGCCATATCAAGCAACTCCAACCGATACGCTACAGACCCAATCTTTTCACAGACACGAAATGGGCCAAAATACCTCATGGCGAGCTTGTGGTAGCGACGGAGCTGGACGGAGTGCTGATGATAAGGTTGCAGTTTAACATAAGCAAAATCACCGATTTCCAACTGGGCCTCCGTACGCTTGCGATCCGCAAAACGCTTAATACGGTCCTGAGCCTTCTGAAGGTTTTGTCGTAATGTCGTCAACACCTGATCACGAATCTCCAGTTGCTGTTGCACATCAAATGGTCCTTCAGACAAGACCAAGTAAGGAATTAAAGGTGGTGGGTCGCGTCCATAAACAATTTTAAAGGGGGTCATTTGTGTGGAGGTGTGGTATGCTGTATTATACCAAAACTTAGCCCAAGGTAAGAATGACAGCTATTTCCAAGGTTGGTCGGCGACAAAGCAACGCAAATACATTTCTAAGCAACGATTTAACGCCTCCGTTTGACCGTCAGACTCTGGGTGGTAGGCAGAAGAAAAATAGAGCTGGGTGCCTTGCTGTTTCATAAGGTGATGCCAAAAATGACTAAGGAAAACCTTATCTCTGTCCGAAACGATTGTTCGAGGTATTCCATGCAACTTGACCACATTAGTGATAAAAGCATCAGCAACTTGCTCACTTGTGTAATTATTCTTCAGGGGAATGAAATGACCGTATTTGGACAGTCGATCAACTACCACCATAATAACTGAAAATCCCTAAACTACCGGTAGAGCCGTGATGAAATCCATGGCTATATCCTCCCAAATCTGCTCTGGTATAGGTAACAGACTAAGAAGACCCGAAGGGTGCGTTTGTGAAGCTTTCGCCTGCTGACAAATGCAACATTGGCGCACATAATCTCTAATATATCGTTGCATCCCCTTCCAATAAAAATGAGTAGCAATGCGGTGAAAAGTTCGCTGGTAGCCAGCGTGACCCCCCAAACCGAGTCATGAAATTCATATAGGACCTTTTGTAATAAGTCGCAGTCATCATGAGGCAAAACCAAGCAATGACGGCGAAATAAATCACCCCTAATAACCTGTAATGCAGCATCCGTCACCTGCCCTTGAGCCACCTCTGTTTTCCATTGTTGAATCAGAGGAGGGCACCGAACAGCCGATAAAATAACATCCATGAATGAGTTTACTATCTCACTTAAAGCCATCAAGGATGATCGAGATAATGCATCGGCAGCTTGGTTGGCAACCCCCAGTTTGTACTCAATAGAGAATCGATACCCCATCAACTTTGGATGACAAGCTTCTTGTTCTGGTGTTTGTAGTTGCTGTTCAGTGAGATGCCGTAAGCTAGCATGATCAGTACGTATAATAAAATAGTTTCCAAAAAGATAGTGACGGAATTTCGCTACCGCCTCTGTAATGGCATATAACTCACGAGCATAGACTGATTGTTGCTGCATTCGACGTGAGAGTTTCTTGGAAAAGAAAGCTATGGGATGATTAGCTTGACTCAACACCGCCTCAATGCCGTGGCCAGAAGCATCCGTTTCGAGCACAAACGGTTTTGAAAAGTCAAGTAGGGTGAGTACAGGGGCCTGAATTAGCGCCTGTTTCAGTGTATCAAAGGCTTGCTGGGATTCCCTTGTCCACTTGAATCCATCCTTCTCCAATAACTTGGTCAACGGTCCTGCAATATGGGCATAATTACGGATAAACCGTCTATAATACCCACTCAAGCCTAAGAAACTCCGTAGATTAGAAACAGTCGTGGGTGTAGGCCACTGTTGAATAGCTTGAACCTTGGCATTATCCATTTCCACGCCAATAGCAAAGACCACATGACCCAAATAATCAATCTTCTGAAGTCCAAAAGAACACTTGGATAATTTCGCAAATAGCTTATGCTAGGCCAGAATGCGTAAGACCAACTCAACATGATATACATGCTATTCCCATGTGCGACTGTACACCAGTATATCATCAAAAAAAATAAGAACAAAACGCCGCAAGTAAGGTCAGAACACTATATTCATTACTGCCTGGAATGTTGCCGGCGCATTGGTAAGCCCAAACGGCATCACAAGCCACTCATATAATCCTTGGTGAGTTCGAAATGCCGTCTTCTCCCTATCTTCTTCCTTCATCAGGATCTGGTGATAACCAGAACGGAGATCGAGCTTAGAGAAGTAGTGAGACCCATGAAGCTCATCAATCAACTCATCCACGGTCGGCATGGGAAACGAGTCTTTGATGGTAATAGCATTAAGTGCTCGATAATCAACACAGAACCTCCATGTACCATCTTTTTTTCTAACCAAAATGACAGGTGCTGAATAGGGACTCGTGCTAGGCTGTATTAGACCTTCACTCAACATATCAGCAACCAACTTCTCTATTTCTGATTTCTAGCTGAACGGGTATCGATACGGTCGCACCTTTACTGGCCCTGTCCCTGGTTGCAATTCAATACGATGAACATGGTCTCTGGCAGGTGGAAGACCATGGGGTTTATCAAAAACAGAGGCATACTGTTGAATCACCCTTGCCAAATCTATTGGTACTAATGCTGGTATTTCTGGAGTAATCTGATGCGTTGTTTCCTCGGCCACTGGGCTTCCATGGATCACAAACATCTCAGCTATAGCATCGGTGTGGTATATTCTCCTCATGTGATGGAGTTGGGCTTGAGCTACCCGTGGAGCTCGGAACCCTTGAAGAGTAATGAACCGACCACCCTATTCGAACTTGATTAGTGAGGATCGGTAATCAACCACGTGAGGACCCAATGTTTCTAACAATGCTGCACCAATGACCATGTCCACCCCAGCCACAGGTAAAACTACCGCTGTGATAGTGATAGTATAGTCACCAATCTGTACTGGTAAATCAGATACAATGCTCTGGCTTTCCATAAGCTGACCTGTCCCCACTAAAATTCGTACGAGGGGTACCCTCTCTACCGGTAATTGTAAATGTTGTATGATCCTGGGATGCACAAAGTTATCGGTACTGCCACCATCCAGTAATACTTGCACGGCAGTGCCGTGAATCTGCCCATTGAAGCGTATTGTGGCTACTCCTTGTGATCCTCGAAAAGCATGCAATGATAAGTGATGCACTGTGGTATGATCAGGCTCTTCTTCTACTTTATCCTCGTTCTCCTCTTGCGATTCTTCCTCATCAGTATGAATCATCATCAATTGCTTGTTGGGACAGCGGTGTTGTGGGGTGAATTTCTCATCGCAAGTGTAACAGAGTCCCTTATCTTGACGAACTTGGATCTCTGCTGGAGTGAGTCTTTTTATGGGCGGTATTTTTGGAGTTGGGAGCAACGGTGGGAGGTTGGACTTAGTGCCATTCCCAGTATTCATTTTATTCCACGAGCTCGCAACGGAGCTAGGAGAAGCCTGATTCACAGTGGGCGACGATGAATAGGACGAACGTAATCTCGAAGTAGACGTTCCGGGATTGACTTTCTCAGAAAACTATCGTGCTAGAGCCACGGCTTTGTTGAGTGTAGTGGGTTGCTGAACCACCACTTCCCTTCTCAAGTCAGGTTTAAGAGCACCCAGGAAGCAGTCTAATAGGATTCCATCGCTTAACCCTTCTGACCGGTTTGCCAGAGCCATGAACTTCCCATAGAAGTCATCTAACGATTCCTGCATGGTCAACTTGAATAGCTGTGCTCGAGCACTATCAAACTTAGTAGGCCCATATTGATCTTCAATCGCCATAGTTAGCGCCTTCCACGTCGGGATCTGATTGTTCTTCTCGAGCATCTGGTACCACGGGATAACAAAGCCTTCCATATTGGCTGCGGCGATCATTAGCTTTTGATGGTCTGGTAAATCATAATAGCGAAAATACTGGTCTGCTCTGAAGATCCAATTCAGCACGTCCGTCCCATCAAAACGAGGAAAATCTATCTTCACTTGCTTACCCACGCACATATGGGTGTTCACAGAATCATGTTCAGGGGCTCCCACACTGCTGGACGCTCCCTGTTCTGTTCGCCGATTCATGCTGTCTACGGTTTTCACCAACGCGTCCAGTAGTCCCTCAATACGATCAAACCTTTCATTGGAAGACTCAATGTATTCTTGTGTTTTTCGGACCTCTGCCTGCAGCTCCTTGAATCTCGTATTTTCTGCCATGGGAGAGTAGAGTTCTCTCAACGAGAGCACCAAATGTCACGGCTCGCTATAACAATGATGAAAATGATCATAATATTCCCCTTTAAAGGCAACTTAACGTCTCAGTACAATCAAATGCCAAAAGACACGATCAAATAAGACAAAGGAATTGAAAGATAGCCACAACGGTCCAGGGAAATCAGAATATTGCAGAGGGAGAGAGCATAACAACCAGAAGGAATC